TTTGGATTGTTTTCACAGTTGTTAAGAGTATTTGTAAAATAGTCTGTCTTTGTTCTTTTAATCAATTTGTTAAGCTCATTTCGTGCTTTGGTAAAAGAGTCATGAAATTGTTTAGATCCAGTTTTTACTGCCTTTCTTTTCAAGAAGTCCCTACGGTGCATCATATTTTTAATTTCACTGGTAATCCATGGAGCATATTCACTTCTTACTTTTTTAGTAATCGGTGGTGCATGCCTATCTGCCACCGTAAGAAATATGTGTTTCCATTCATCCCACATTTCATTTGGGTCATTAGTTATAGAAATTGTTTGCATATTAATTAATTAAGTGTGAAACGAATCAGGCTTCATCCATGTGAACGTATGGGTCTTTTGTCAACAATGAGGATTTTAAGTTACAATATCGAGACAAAATGAAATATACTTCGTTGGATGGGTGTCGTTGTTTGTGATGTTCGCTGGATGGGTGTCCATTGTAAGACGTGGCACATGCAGGAGCGGACTCCCAGCTTTTTGGACCCACGGCCATGAATGTACATGTATGAGAGTGAACATTTTGCAAATTTTCGCAAAGATTTTTACGCTAACAAATTTGAGGTCACACTTATCGGAAAGGGCCAATCGTGTTTCATGAGTTAAACCCCAGTCGTCAGATGAACTCGGTAAAAGGATATAGTCTGAATCCGTCTCCTTCGTATTCCGCTCTTCCAATGGTCTCCAGGGCTCGGTCTATGGTGGCATATGGTGACATATTATGTGCGATTTATTTGCTGATTAAAATTTTAATAGTCAATAACAGGGTGGTTAGGACAAACACATGCAGTTAAGAAAGTAATATCATAATTGTAGTAAAGATAAAATAATCTAGGGTAAGTATGTAAGTAATTAGGTATGCGTATAATACTTGATGTAAAGCGCATTGATCATATCCACATGTAAATTTGCGCTATAGAAATGATAATCGTAATCGTATAAGTGAGACTTTTAATATTTTTTAAACCTGTGTATTTTTTATAAATTTATATCTCTTTTCCCTAGATGGGCTACATAACAAATGGTGACTGTCAATCAATTTTGAACGATACGTTAAATTTAGAATTAGAGAACTCTACTATTCTTGTTGGGAGTATTGATGTAAAACGTAAGTAGAAAATTAAATTAAGTCGTTTTGAAAATGGGAATTTGAGATATTCCGCGCAATTCATGTTGCGAAATTGGATGAAGTATAAAAATTTAGTTGTCTTCTTTTGGTAACTTTTTTACGTGGAAATGCATTGCAAACCGTGAATCTTATATTTTAAGGAATATTTAGTACGGAAAATATCTAAATTGTTTCTAACTATCAATACAAATATTGATTTGGAGCGTATATGGTACCTGGACAAAAAATTTAAATGATACGTTTTATAAAAGTATGAAAAAGTTTTGCGATTTAATTGTGGCCTAAAATTTAAGACACTTTGTTCTGAGAAAAATATGGTAACGTGTGTTCTGTAACTTAAATCTAAAACTTCCATTGATTTCTTTTCAAGTTATAAAATAACGGGTGGGGACTAAAAATGCGGACTCAAAAATTTTTTCCGGACATACCAAAAAAATTTTTTCGGATATATCCAAATTTCCTAAATATGAAAAAAAGTTTCCGGAAATACCAAAACATTTTTCGGACATTTGATATTTTTCCCGGAAATTAAAATTTTTTTTGGAAAATAACATAAATTCAAGTGCTTTTTTAAAGTGCCCTTTGGGCAAAAGAAGGCAATCCTTAAAACATTTTTCACGCAAGAAAAGGGCACTTTGCTCCCGGAAAAATGGCACTTGGCAAAACTTGGGTTCCTACGCCCCTGTTGATGGGAGATGTCCTTGAAATTTCTACGCACAATGAATTAAGGAAATATATCTAAGGCGTTGGTGCCATCATGTGACAATTTTCGTTTCCAAATAATGACTTATATGGCATCGGTATGAACACTGTGGGCACAATCTTTCAGATCAGCTTTAGTGTTATCTATATCTCCAGTCTCCACAGTGGTTTTTCATGGAAGATCGTGCTTTTTCAGGCTTGTCCAAAGCGATTTTTACTCCATCTGACATTTCTATCTCTATTTTCTCTATAAATAAGCTTCCTAAAGCAATTTTGATATTCCGTAAGTATGAGGTACAGTAATGCCATTTCGTATGCGTTCTTGGGGTCTCCAATTAGATGTGTCAAACTCATTTTACAGTTGGTTTTAGATTGTCCATTTTTAGTTGAGCATAGTCATGGAAGTTTAGGTTTCTCGTTTTTGAAAATGGAAGCTAGGAAATTTTGTTTCCGACTCACGTAATTGTAAAAATTGTTCAATGACAATGTTGTAATAAATATATCAAATTTCTCAATATTTCCTTCTTTCAGCTTTGACAGTAGTGTTGTGTCGGTTTACGAAATCAAAGTGGTGTCAAAGTGACAATAGCATAGTCGAAGTTCGCGGTTGGCGTTATGTACATGATTCATTAAATAATGGCGGTGAGTGTCAATCATTTTAAACTTTTATATCTCGTAAATGCTGCTTTACTGATGTTTGGGGACTTAAGAACCCTTTTAGCCCGATGACCGCTTGATTCTTTTTTCCAAAAGAACAAAGATGGCATCCTATACCATGCCTATTTGAAAATGAAGAGATACACTAAAAACGCTTTGGTTAAAATTTTTCTACCAGATGTCCCCCAAAAAAACTAGACACTGTTTGATTTTATGTAACTTAAAATCTATAAAAGCTGTCGTAATGAAATAAAGATCAATTTACATGCAATATTGAGCGCGATACAACCAAAAAAATTATTATTTAACAAGTATGCGAATTTTTGGCATTTTCAAAAACAGCAGTACAACGTTCAAACATGTGCTATATATCAATATCTACGTTAGCCCTTTCTGAATAAAATGATCTTTATTTCATTGCACGCGATAGCTGTTATAGCTTTTACGTTACATGAAATGAAACAGTGTCCAGTTTTTTGGGGATACCCGGTAGTTGCTCAAGATAACCCTTTTTGGGTTAAATGTTCTGGTTATTGTAACCTTTTTCCTACCATAGCTGCATGGTAAATATGAATAGAATTTCCTGATCAAACTACCTAGACTATGCAAGGTGGACTCTGGTTATATATCCACATAGTATAGTATAGTTATTTTGACGAGGACGTCCTGCCAAATATAATCAGAATATCAGATACCTGGTTAAAACAGGAAATATCAAGTAATACCAGGGACATCAAGTAATTAACCCAATATAGTGTTTAACCTAAATTTGTTGCGCTGATGCCTTTTATACTTTAGTTCTAACTTGAATCTTTTTCAGGAAAAATGCACTCTTTGGCCAGTATCGAGAACATAACGTCATGGTTTTCCTACAAGTGGATTCCATATAACTCAATTGTCAGTAGAACTGGAGTATGTATGAAATTTCAATTCAAAATGACTGGAAATAACAATACCTTATCATTGTCTGTTCAAACCTTCTCTGGTAACACAACATTGATTTGGAGTCTACATGGTAACCATGACAACATATGGAAAACTGGTGTCATAACATATCGACCAAATGAAATATTAGCGGTAGGTCAAGCTATTGCTTTTTCTGTTTGTTTGCTTTTCCTGTTTGTTTGCTCCTTCGTTCCTTTTTATTGCTTTTTTTCAAGTGTGTTCGTTGATTTGAGTTCATTATCTAATTTTATTTAGCCCATTAAATTCCATTGCGCCTTACTTTATTCTGTCTAGCGCCAGACGATTTTAATCAACAAGGGGAGCACCTTGGCGCTCAACGGGTTAAATCCATTGACTGGTCAAAATAACCAACAGTTTGTTTTCTGCAATCACTTAAAGTGACACCAATACTCTAACCAATCCAAGTGTTCAAATAGGGTAATAAAATACGAAATGTTTTATGAAATTAATTAAAGAGTTCGAATTAAGTAGTTTCTGTCTAGTTGATCATTTGAAAATTAAATCTTACAAAATTCAATATTCATGGTTATGTGCCTAACACCATTAATTTTTGCTCTGATGTGTTTCCCACCAACCTGCAGAAATCTTAGGACATTTTTATTCAAACGAAATCTTGAACATTATAAGGACCACAAGCCATCAGTTTAAAATTAGGCAGGTGGGACTTCTATTAAAAAATCCAATTTTAAAAAGGCAAACAGTTCCCTGCTTTGATAAGTCAGATATCAATGGACTAAAACGACATAGCCATAGGATAATTATTTTATCCATGCATGCAGTAGAACAATCCAGAACATCTCTCAAATTAAGCTAAAAGTTTCAATTCCAATAAATAGTGGGTGACTGCATGCAGCATTTTCTGACACCCTGTATTTTGTTTGAAATCAATATTTAATTGTTTACTTGTTTGTTTTCTGCTATCTATTGATGTGTTATTTTCAGTTAATTTTTGATGGCAAAATAAGCGAGCCAAATACCATTGTTGCTATAGCAAATGTTTCAGTCACGACGGAAACGTGTATGGGTCACGGAACTGCAGTATATCCTTATTTTGCTGATCCAGGTAAACAAACTCTACCGCATGTTGTTTCTCCCGTTTCATATGAAATTCATACCATGTCTATGGAATTTGCTTGCGATTGCATCACTAAAATGGAAATTGCAATTAGTATATGAAAATTGCTATTTTTTCATGCTATTTTCATCGTGAAGTAAAAGTTTTGAAAACAATTTCATGCAGTCTTTGATTTAGTGAAACGAGAAAATCAGAAGAGCTATCTAGCTCAAATTGGTTTTAATGTATCCAGAAAGGTCTAACATAAATTCTGATGCATTATAATAAGATTTTCGTGCGATATATAACTGAGCTATTGATGTTTTAAAACGAGCAAACATTTTTAACAACGCGAAAATTAGCTTAAAATGGCCAGATATTAAATAAATACGATTTGGTTAATATAGGCTAATCGTTTTATTTTGTAGTAAAAATGCATGTGCAGCATAATTGTTTAAAATATTAATAGCTATTTGTTCAACTGAAGAAGCTTGTCTTCTATATATGTTGGAGTTTCCTCCAAATACAAGCGGCTAATGATATTTTTTAGTTAAATTAAAGTTAATTAGCTCTTCAACATGGTCGCGATGACGTCGAGTGCAACCAAGTATAATATGGCGTTACAAATTATATTGTCAATGTTTTAGACTACAAGTGTGCATCGGATAGGTATCTCTGTGATAATGGGGAGTGTATCAGTCGAAGTTTGGTATGTGATGGAGATAAAGGATGTTCTGATAATTCTGATGAAACATACTGTCAATGTTTAACTGATCAGTTCAGGTGTGAGAGGTCAGGAGAATGTGTGAATACAAGATTGTTATGTAATGGCTTTGCAAACTGTGAAGATGCTAGCGATGAACAAAGCTGTTGTAAGTCCTTACCAATTTTTATGCCATTATTTGTTGCATATTATAGTTTCTAATTCCTCGCCCGCCTGCCTTCTTTAGCACCATTATAATACAAACAAGAACATTCGTTTTACCAATTTCTTTCCAAAATACATTTTGGTCCCTGCTTTGACGTTTTTTCAAACCTCAAGTAGGCAACATATCACTTTACATTAACTAATATTAATGAGAATTTAAGACGGAAAATTTTGGTAAATGACTTTGGAGACTTCGGAGAAACTTTGGAGAAAGCTCCTGATGCGGAGAAACTCGTATGCAACAATCGTGGTCTTATACTTCCAATTTCATTTTAATTTTGTATGAACAATGGCCTGTAGACAACATAAAATAAATTCTATGATTTTCGTCACTACAATTTATATATCAATAAATAAGAAAAAACAGTTGCTAATATATATTTCTGTGATTTCCGAATTGAAGTACGATTGTCACAATCCGAAGTAAACATATTACATTGTATACATTTCCGTTACCTCCAACGTATCTCCATAACTGAAGCTCAAGCTGAATTCGAAGATTATTATTTTAAAATGCAATGAAATTTCTTTCAAAGGTTGTTCTATTTGTCAAGGTTGGCAGTCTGAAATAAAATATATCAGTGATGATGAACAGCATTTCATTTTCTATTTTGCATTTGTTTGAGTTTGGCACTTTGAGATAAAATATATCAGTGAGGATAAACAGCATTTCATTTTATTCTTTCAGTGATTTATTTCATAAAATGTAAAATCCCGCGTATAGTTAGTTAAAGAAGAGCTAAGCTACTATACTAATCTAGATCCCACATCGAATGATCCAAATGTGCTATGGAATGAATTTAAGAACAACTTTCTTACTATTGCTGAAAAACACGCGCCAGTTAGACAGCGTCGCGTTAAGAGTGAGCATAAACCATGGCTGACGAAAGAAATAAAGCGTTTAATGCATCATAGGGATTATCTTAAAATACAGAGTGTTCGTTTAACATCGAGTAATTATAACGAGGCCTACAAAAGATGCAAGAATAAATTAAATAAGCTTATTAAAAAGACTAAGGAAGAATACTTTAAAACGAAGTTATCTAATGCAAATAATAGCAAAGAGAGTTGGCAGGCTATTAATGAGCTATTAAACAAAAGGCCCAAAACTACCCATGTAACACAGCTAAATGTAGATGACCAAGTTATAACTGGAGACACAAATATTGCGGACTGTTTTAATCAGTATTTTTCATCCATCGGTTGTAAGCTGTCGAAAAATGTCCAAAATATTAATGTTGACCCTATGACATTTGTCACTCCTACGGAGAGTTCGTTTCATTTTTCATGTATTTCAGTCCAAGAGACTTTTGACGCATTAAACCAACTTAATTCAAGGAAATCACCAGGACTGGACGGCATAAGTGTAAAACTATTAAAAGATACAAGCGATGTTATCGCGCAACCATTAGCCAACATCTTTAATCTATCTCTTCAGACTGCAATTTTTCCGGACGAGTGGAAAATCGCCAACGTATCACCAGTCTTTAAAGAAGGGAATAAAACTGATTGCGGAAATTATAGACCAATCTCTGTAATTTCTGTGGTTGCTAAGCTGTTTGAAGGGCTAGTGTACAATCAATTGAGAACGTTTATTGCCGACAATAGCATTCTTGTAGAGCAACAGTCCGGTTTTCGTTTACAGCACTCTACTGAGACGGCACTCTTAGGTTCGACAAATGAGTGGTTATATAACATGGACAATGGCTTAATCAATGGAGTCCTGTTCTTGGACTTGAAAAAAGCTTTTGACACTGTCGACCATGAAATCTTATTAAAGAAACTTCACCTATACGGCATAAAAGGAACTACTTACGCATGGTTTGAATCTTACATCCAAAATAGGAAATCGATTTGTTTAATGAAAGGGAAAAAATCACATGCTAGAGAAATTAGGTGTGGGGTACCACAAGGTTCTAACCTTGGCCCCATCCTATTCCTCTTGTATATTAACGATCTACCTAAGTGCCTAGAAACAACCAAGGCTAACTTGTTTGCTGATGACACAAATCTTTCGTGTGCCGGCTTAGATGCCAATGAAATCGAGACTAAACTTAAAAGAGATCTTGAGAATGTTCATAGTTGGCTTAGATGTAACAAGCTCACGCTAAACGATAGCAAAACGGAATTTATGATAATTGGCTGTAGACATCATCTTACTAAATTTGAAGACAACCCAGAGATTTCATTAGCCATACGAGATAATAATATTAAACGGGTCACCAATAAAAAATCTCTTGGTTTTATCATCGACGATCAATTAAAGTGGGGTATACACATTGACGCACAATGTAAAAAAATCTCAAAAATATTGCATTACTAAGAAGAGCCAAGTCCTTTGTTCCTTTACACATTCTAATCAAAATGTAT